GAACATTCTAGTCATTAGATATATCTACGGGCTTACCTTGAAGCGTAAGGGAGGTTTTGAAAATTTTCCGGCGAAACTTCCGGGGACTCTATCTCACTGCTCCGGCGACCTCACACAAAGATGACAGCACCACTGCACTCCACTCTCAGCAAGGAACAATATAGAAGGAAGAATGAGTTGTTTTGGTGATGAAATGAGGGAGTTGGGTTGTCCTTAAATAGCCAAGTGAGGAAGGAAGAAGACAGGGAGTTTGCAGCTTCCTTGATTGCTCGGTGATTCGGATTTTGGAATCGGCGTAATTGAACAGGGCGCCGTTTGGTACGTAGTCCCTGATTGAGACTAATATTTGGTCCCAGTCGGGGTATACTTTTTGGTCCAACTTTCTCCAAATTGAAATCCGATTGAACCGTTGGGGTCAGACAGTCGAGCTCTATCCAACGATATACTTTTCATAATTATTTGTAATACTTTTTCCGACATCATATTTTTGAGTGTTTGACTTTGACAGAGTCAAAATTGGTTTATTTGACCTTTATTCAAAAAGGTTCTCACATTTAATTCATATCATTTGTTCTCATGATTTATTTCAATAAATCATTTTAAAGTTCATATTATAAATAATTTTTTTATTTATTCTTGATTTGGGTCTGTACTTATGTTCCCAATCAAGACCACACAAATACTCAACATATTGGATTTATCTCTATGAGACTTATCCTGATTTGTGATATTGGATGTCAAAATACATTTCATTTCGGCCCAAAGCCCAATAACTATTGATTTTAATCGAAACAAATTTGACTAATTGAATATTTATTCATTAAAAATTTTAGGGTATGTTTTGGAGCGTTAAAAATGCTCTATAACATATTGACAACTTACAATCTTAACCAGAATAGGGTATTCCAAGAGTTCGCCTATGTAACCTATGTCATTAAATTACTTTACATATTCAAGTCCATACTTACAATGACCTCAGTTCATTTTACTTGTTCAAGGCATATTATATTTAAATCATAACAAAAGAGAAAACAATAATCAAATAATACAAGGTCTTGTAATCAATCTGCCTCACGGTCTCGTAATCAATCTACGACTTGGGTCGAAACAAATAAACAAATAAAAGGGGTCAACAACGCTTGGTACGTTACCTTGGTACTGCCTCACAGTATTTTGGTACCATCCGACAATTAAACTTATGGTGAATTTCCTCAGTGATCATAGCCCGGGGTGTTATTGTCCCTTTTAACGCCAAAGGGACAGCAAACACCGCCCCCTTGTAGCTTCATACAGGCTTCATCCATTGTGCGTCAAAAGTTTAACGAGCTTCATCTCTTTATGTTATTTCTCTTTTAAAAAAACATACACAAACAAAAAAATTTTACTCTATATTTTGTTGTTTAATGTAATATTTTTTTTGTTTAATTTTTTTTAGCAATGTAATTTTTTTGTTTTTGTTCAATGTAGTTTTTTTTGTTTAAATTTCTTCATAAAGTAATATAATTTTTTATATTTTTGTTGTTATTACTCAAATCTTATTTTGTTAATTTACTTTTTATTGATTTTTTTATTTAATAATTTATTTTTATTTAAATTCATTTAATTGATAAAATGTTATTAATTTAATTTTAGAAGATGTATATTTAAAAATATAAAAAATAGATATTTGATCGAACATATTTTCAGTCGTTCGAATAATTAGT